ATAGTGACTCCGTGACTCGAAGACTCTGTCCAGAAAATGCGCTCAAAAGGAAGTGAATTGTAATATTTATTTTCTTTTTTGCTTTGTACAACCCACTTCAAGCAGACGCATATTTTATAAACATGAAAATTAAGGAAGGACAGACTAATAACACTGTGTCAATTTATTTAGGACAAACAATGAAAAAGTGGGTAAGGACAGGCGCTGCACTTACCGCAGCTAAGTACTCGTGTACATATACGGTGAGGCGCGAGTACGCCACTGGGAAAATATCATAATATTCAATAATGGCAACACCTCATATCGGTTTCAGTTTTAAACACGAACCCTCAACTGCATGCTCGGAACCGTATACTTAAAAACAACTCAGTGCCAACTGTCGAGAAAAAGAAAACGCACAAAAACGCGACGTGTCATTTGTCGAGGTTGCTGTTAGAAGAAACAGAATATCGTCAACATAGACGGACTCCGACATGGTTCGCTTCTCTTATTGATACCAGCTAATGAGAAGTCTCCCCTTACGAAAATGGCAGATCTGGACTTATATAAAAAAAAGCAAATATGGATATATAAAAAATTGGGCAGATCTGGCCATATCAAGCACATCAGTTTATATAAGCCTTATATAGCCAGATCTGCCCAATTTTTTATATACCCATATCTGGGTCTGCCAAATAGGGGTATATCTGCCTCCCATATCAGGTTTTTTTTTTTTTTTTCTATTCTTGCAGATTTGTTCTTAAAAAAATCATGAAAGCTACACTTATGTGGTTTCTGCGGGTGAGTTATACTCCCAGGAGGACATTACGTGGGCGCTAAGCTGTGTGATTACTCGGCTAATTAATTAAAATTCACTTATTAACTTTTCAATTAGTGAAAATAGACATACGGTTCCAATAAGCCGCTAGCGGGGCGTCGTCCAAAATGCCTAAATCAGACATTTTCAGAAAGACTTTCAGCGCGTGAGAAGTGTGGTAGTGCACTAAAGTAACCACTCGTGGAGCAGGTACAAGGCTAGCGGTTTCGGTAAGGCGCCCGCGCAATTTTTCTCTCTTACCTAGCCCCAGCCTTGTACCTGGTCCACCAGTGGTAACTTCAGCATACTACTGCGCTTCACACGCGCTCAGTCTTTCTAAAAATTACTGGTTTAGGGGTTTTGGACGACGCTCAGCAAGTTTCTAATGAAACTATGTGCCTATTTTCACTAATTAAAAGTTAATTATTGAATTTTAATTAATTACCCGACTTATCGCAAAGATTAGCAGACTACATAACGTCCCCCTGGGCGTATCACTCTCGTACAAACCGCATAAGTGCAGCGTTCACGGCTTTTAAAACAAATCTGCAAGAATAAAAAAAAACAAAGACGGTATCTTCCATGCTGGTAGTTGACTCTTCGACCCTCCACAGCGGAAGCAATGGTAAACTGTGCCGCGCTCGGCTGTAGCAATTACCCGGTATCCCGACGATCGTTTCGTCGGCATGAACCGCGAGACAGTGTCCGTCAAGTTAGAGAAAGTACAAGCGGGAGGAGAGGGATACGCCCGCGGATGACCGAGTTAGCGGCGCGCATCTCATAGCGGCGAGCAACGGCACTTTTCTACCGTTGTTTACGTTCGCGCACGCCTTTGCATCCGCTTTTGCCCATTCGTGCAGTAGATGCCTTTTACCTATCGTTACATAACGCCGATAACGGCGATAGGTCGGCGGTGGCCCCGCGTGCAAGTTCGCCGAGACGCCGCCGTCAGGGGATCGGTTTGTGCCGTCCGCGAGACGCTAACCCTTGCAAGGAGCGAAAGTATCTTGGCATGCCGGTTAGGAAACATCATAATGTAAAGCCTGAGTCAATGAGAGTTGTCCGTTATTTGATTTATCCTCATCCCAGGGTTTAGATTATGACGGTAACCTAGCATTGTTTACCAGTATTCAAGCGACTCGTAAAGCCGCTCGTCAAATTTTGGAAGGCGTAATTAAGAGTGTGCTGCTGTTGTTTTTTGGCGACACGTCAAAACTTTGTCGGCGGCATATCAAAACTTTCTGCTTGTAGCGCAATCGCACTAATGCCGAAACATTCTGCACAATGATTCTCCCGGCTGCCAGGAGATAGACACGGCCTAAATCTAGAGGTAATCTGGAATACATTTAGGAAAAACGATCAATTGTCACGAAGTAGGTTGCAGCGCACTTACGTTGACGAGACGCGACTTGAAAGGTGTTATCCAAGGGAGATGTCGACACGGCCACGGTAAAACCACCACTCGAACACAGAAACGCGAAGGTGCCCGTGAAGATTCAACACGATGTAGCACAAGCTGTCGTTTGTAGAACCGAACACTAAACGCATCACAAAACATTCTTGGGCTTCTTTGAAGAAATCGCTTGCAAAAGCAGTCATACACAGCAGCCACACAGGGAGAATTCACACGCCAAACTAGGTCCGGCTAAACGCATTCCGAGATCGGGAACGGCTAATGCGTCATCCCTCAAACCACGTGACCGCTCGACTTTTACAACGCTTTCAGCTTAGGGAGAGAGAGAAAAGGATCAAGGGAGAGGCCAAAACGGGGTTTCACGAACAAAAGGCTTATCTTACGGGGCCGCAATGAGGGGATGTGTCACTTGTAACGAAGGTTGACAGTGCTGTGAATGCTATGTGTGGCCTTGGGCGCCAGGCAGGTGCGATGTCCTGCTTTGTCACCAGATTCTAAACTGTAGTCACGTGACCCTAACCGGAGACACGATTAACCTAAAACACGCGTAGCGTCTACCCTGCTGTCAATACCGAGTGAACATACAGCTCTATGAAGTCTAGCTTTTGAACTCAAAACGATGCGAGTTTCATGATATTATGTTTTACGCTGTATAAACCATATTATAATTTTAAATAAAAAAATAAACGCGACAATTTTTTGGTGCATGATGTCGACAAATAAATAAATAAATAAACATGTATATATATATGTTTACCAATAAATTTAAAATCATGTGTACACTGTTTCAAATTTTTTTATGAACGAGTTACACATAAAATACCACGGACAGCACATCTTCCGACTTTCAACACTCGATGAATCGCCGACGCTCTCAAACGAACTGATGCGATGCTACGCTAACGGTTTTGAAAGAGCTGCGTATTGTACTCCGGGCACAACGGCTTCCGTTCGAAGGGAAAAGGATTCGGGACGGCGAAGTAGCGTCTTGCATCTTGAGTAAGCTAACGGTTCGTGTTTAGCCGCTCAATTTAGCGGTGAAATATTTAAAAAAAATTTGTTTCACTGCCAGATTTCGCGGGAAAATTAACGTCGCGTGACATACGTACCAATTCAATGTCTCGCTAAATTTAGCGGGGCGGTTACACCGATGGCGACGCCAACGCCGCTTAATTTGGAAACGGGTGCCTAAGAGCTGCGACTAAAATCCATTGTTTGATTAAGTCGCGTTCCGATCGCACTACGTCATATTGTCACACATCAAACATACAACCAAATTTCATTTGTCTTTCAATCTTCAAATTGCGCAATTGATTAATTGGTCCAAATACCTGGAATAACTTCACTTGAAGGATGTTAACAATAGTTAACCAATTACATGAGACTCATGCAATATAGATCAATCAACTAGTGCCTTAGCGAGTACATATAACTTGTTGCTTCCACAACTGAAACGGGCCCATACATCATTATCTGGGGCTATATTTGCACGCGTATATGGTGATATATGCCCGTATTTACGCACTTATACGGCCAGATCTGGCACTATTTGCCCACCTATATGCCGAAATACGGCCGTATTAGCTCCCATATCTGGCGAAATACAGCCCTATTTGACTGCTTATATTATCATATCTGGCCACATATAAAATATATCAGGGCCATATCTGACATTTTCGTACGGGTCTCTCCGTTGGTGCGCTCAATGCTGGGGTGGCATGCACGAACTGCACTACAAGACTGTGGTGCGGAGACTCGGGCTGGCGCAAATTCCATTACTCCAGAGGATAGAATTCAGTCTCCTCGATTTACTTGTAGGCGAAGAAGCCACGTGCAGGCTTCTACTTTCTTGTGGCTTGTACGTTTTGAGTGTTCCTTGCCCAAAGAACGTCTTCCGCTCTTTCCCTGCGAAACACGAACACACTTTCCCGAGGTGGCTGATGCTCCTGCATTCTTTACGTTTTAGGGACAGCATTTTTTGGCGAGATAGAACGTTCTAAAGCGATCTTTAGTAAGAATCAAATGTTTCTTGACGTAAAGATCAGTTTTCTCTCCAGTTGGCCTCTTATCTAAGAAAGTAGTTCTTCCGCAATACCTTCGACGATTCACTTCATAGTATTACTCGCTTATTCACCCTACACTGTGCGGTCGCACACGTTGATTAGCTGCATCGGCAAAAATGTGGATCCGGACCCACGGATATCAGCGTTCGATCAGCATCCGCAGTCCCTGGCATCCGCGTCCGATCTGCGATACAGTATATCTGGTTCATTGTTATCCGCATCCGCCAGTTTACTCGGGATATCCGCGGGTAATCCGCGAACATGCAGGGAGACTGTATATGAGCACCGCGCGTGGGTCTACAGCCTATTGACAAGAGCATACTTTGATTGGGTTTGACATAAACATTAAAAATGTCAAAAGAATATTGCCCTTAGATGATTGAGATCTTCGGTGGCGATCTCAGGATCAGGAAACATTTCTTGATTCTGTGATCGCCACAGAACCATCTAGGGCAATATGTTTTTGTTTTTTTTTTATTACTCGCAAGTGTTTGTCTTTCTTACCCAGGTTAGTTCATCGCATAGGAAAGGTCCATATAGTCCCTCACGTGTTTTATTTATGACCAAAATTTCTTCTCATGTTTATAGCGATTCGTTGGTACCTTGTTTCAAGATGCTCACAGAATTCAATGCTCCGCAGAATCCGCATTACAGGGACGACCGTTGTCATATAGGACCATGCACCGCGGCCGTTGTCGTCAAGTTCGTTCTCTTCTCGTCGTTCTAGGTTGTTTCCCACCAGAGGGAAATCCACCAATCCGGCCTGCCAGCGACTGCAGCTTCACGAGGCTCAGGTGGGAATCGCACTTCCAGGACGAGGATCACTGGACAACGGTCCATTTTATATCCCCACTTCGGGCTAATCCAACCTTCACCTTCTACAACAATATCAAAATCAAAGCACAGGAAGACGACGAACGCCATGACATGGCGCTTCTTGATCATCCACATTGAAGTATAGACTGTTTTATAATAGATCAACATTTATCGAAGGAAATGACAAAAATTGTATTTGATAGGAAAAGAAAGTCTCTTTAGAAATTCGGTGCAGGAGTCGATGATTCGCAGACTTTTCGCTTCTTCGGTTTCTTGACGAAACGTCGGCTGTTATTCTAAGAATTACAGGAAGTTGATTCTACAAGCTTCAACTATAGCTTTGCAAGTGTAGGCAGTATTTGAACGTCAGCATTAAAAAAATTACAGGAAGATCCAGTTGTGGATTCCTGGGGAATCCGTTAGCATGACCCTTGGGAAACGCCACAGACGTCCCTCTTTTGGAAACGCTAACGCTTACCCCTCCACTCCTTTCTTTTGGCTTTCTCTTTGGCTTGTATTTTTTGCTGCCTCTTTTTGACCTCATTACGGGGCCAGTGTTAGCGTTTCTCAAAGAGGGACGTGTTTGGCGTGTCCCAAGGGTTATGCTAACGGATTCCCCAGGAATCCACCAATGAATCTTCCCGTAATTTTTTTTTTCACCCCTTTTTGTACTCTGCCTGTCCGAGTACGTCGACGCTCTTGGATATGGTCATCCATATCACTCGTGGAAAGGACCACATCCATACCACTTGTGGAAGGAACCGCATCCATATCACTCGGGGAGTGAACCGCATCCATGGTTTTAACTACACACGCACATAAAAGCCCCGCACCGCTACTACGAAAACCCAGAGCGAAGAACAACCGGCGACAGCAGTGCGGCAACTGAGCACGCCCGCATTCCACTGCGCTGCGGTGGAACACCATAACAAAGCCGCAGTGCTGAATGAGATGGCATCATCAGAGAAGGCCAACGCTGGGCACAGATAGAACTCGACGATTGCGCCAACGTTCGGCTTCAACTCGACTCGAAGCCGAGCGCTGACGATGCACTCGTTTCAAATTTGTGTCCAGCGATGGCCTACTCTGATTAAGCCATCTAATTCAACACTACGACTTTGTTATATAGAAGGTGTTGCGCGGCGCCTCCTCCTTTTTGGTACCGCGCCAGCTGTGCGCGTAATTTTGCCGAAAGCAAAAGGGCCCGTTTTTTTACGAAAACCGGGCGGTGTCTGTCAGTTTGTCAGCGCCGGGGAGACAGGGAAAGGTTGACGCGTGCTCACGTCAGCGCTTCTGACCAATGGCAGTTTCGAACGCGACAACTGACAAACGAAAGACACCGCTGTTGTTTGGTCGAAACGAGCGTTCTAATGCCAACGCATAAAATAACTTTTATTTAGTCGTTGTTTCGCTGTTCTAGCTCACGAACCCGTGCCATAAGAAATAGGGGTTCAATGAAACTGTTGACATAAGCCGTGTTTGTCACCATGTTTTTTTTTTTTTTTTTTTAATTTACCTGGACGCAGGGCATGAAGCAGGACCCGGTGGTCCAGGCCAGGCTGATGCGGTCTTACAAGATGATGCTCGACTTCTTCGGTCTGGAGCTTCTGGATGAGGCCAAGGGCGTCGTGGACAAGGCGCCCCATTGGGAGATCAGGTTCCTCAACCTCAACAGGTAACAAGCTCACTGGCACGCAGCCTTGTGAAGGGCCTTTCTTTCCATAATGACCACACCAAGCGGCGAAAGCGCGAAGTGTAATTGGCACATCAGGGACGGGAGTTGCGCTATCTTTCTTCCGGACAGCATGTGGTTCGCTCGCTTTCGCCGCTGCGTGAGGAAGGCCTGCGCGTATACGCAGAACTCTTCTTGAAAAGGTTCATTACTGGTTAGTAAATTAACCGACGCTAGCTCTGTGGTTAAACACGATCAAAGAAAGTCATTTCAAATCACTTTATTTTGCCACAAACTGACATTTCTGACAGCGGAGTGCGAAAAGAATTACAGGGCAGCGATTTGATGGTCGAGGCAAATTTGTAGAAACAACGGGGCTGATTATTTATGAATGCGATCACATTTGTCGTTGCACACCGCCAAATATAAGCAGGGAAACTGATCGCATTGGTGCATATACGTCGTGATGTCAATTTTTCCGCTATCTTTAGCGGGGAAACTCCCCCTCTAAATCCTTGTCTTTGAGGTCACCCTAGAGTTTGTCCTTGAGGTCGTCCTAGACGTTGGTCTTAACGTCGTCCTCTGGGACGTCGTCCTAGACGTCGTCTTGGATCACGTCCTCTAGGGCAGCCTCGAGGACGACCTCTAGGAAGACCTCAAGGACAACGTTCTAGAAACGACCTCAAGGATGATCTCTAGGGCGACCTCAAGGACGACGTCTAGGACGACCTCCAGGACGACGTTGAGGACGACTTCAAGGTCGTCAGGTCCTTCGAAGAGGGTGCGAATGTGAAGGAGTGCGTACTGCCGCTCCGCATACGCGCGGCGCGATGGGGTGCAAGCACAGTGAGCTGAAATGGTTTACTGCGCATACCGAGTGCGCATTACGGGGCCAGAATATACATAGCTGAAAATCTTGATTAGTGGCTTAATAATGCTATCCCATTAAAAGCTGCATGTTTGCAGCTCGACCGGTTCCAACGTCCTTATCATGGTTAGAGCGGAGAAGGTATAAAATAAATATACTTACCCGTATACGTACCATAGATGAAGAAAGAATAAAACAATTGACACAGGGACAACACAACCACATCTTTCATGACTTAAAGGAGCTGTGCAACGATATTCAATTGGAATGTTTTTCTCTCTACACGAGCTTACTGGCACACCTGGGACTCAAGGATACTCACACGCAACGCCATTGGCCAAGAAACTCCTTTGTTGTGGTGTAATTTCAAGGACAAAAGCGATCATCTTCATTCAATTTCTCCTTTGCAAAATTTGATGACGTAACTCGGGGATTGCAGTACACCCAAGTGACGATATTTGAATGCGGTTCATAGATTGGACCCGAGCATTGCGTGGGCACTCGACTTGGGCTCGTGACAATTGCTAGCTCGAGAAGCATTCGGGTAGTGACCCGTGTCCAATCGCTGCAACGACGACAACAGCCGAGCCATAACAATTGTCTGGAACTCAGCGCGTGTCCTGCGCTTTGCCAACCCCAGCGCGTGGCTATGATCAACACTGGCGGCATATAATCGGCTCCAGATCACGTGGCCGCTTGTTCTGGCTGCGAGTTGAGGGGGTGAACGCTGCTCGTTTTTCTTTAATTTTTTTCTGGGACTTCTATTGCGTGGGGTGAAAAACGAACGCGTGTTTCATAGGTCATTAACGTTAGGGATCCGTTTTAAGCGGTATTTGTGCACAGTACAAAAATTGTTGCATCGCTCCTTTAAAGCGGTCATGAAACGATTTTCCTACTTCTTCCTCAGCTTTACTCCTCAACTCAAATGCGAATGGTGAAATCACGTCGTCGTAATATTTTTCGGCACCGGTGCGATGACTCCTACCTTCCACCGTGCTTTTTATGCACACCATCGAACTTGTCATTCCCCAGTGTCAATAAGTTCCGTCAGGGCACTCATTGGCCACGAACGCGAATCGAAATATTCGTCGACGGATTGATTGTTGACGAGCGCATACGTCCGAGTGACGCAGTTCTCGTGTCCAATGCGTGAGCTGGGCTCTGCTGACGTCGGTTTGGCGCCGGTGACGCGCTTTTGGAACCGCGGATGTATCCTAGTGAAAAGGCGGAGAGCTTTCGAAGGCAAGAAGGTACAAAATAGTCCGCTATATTTTCAAATGCTCGTACCGAAAAGCTGGCTTTTGACTTTCTAGCCTCTTTCGTTTGGCCAACTAAACGATATGCGATTAGTAAAGTCCCAATCTAAAATCATTCATTTCAACCCAAAATTCGTTTCATGGCCCCTTTAAACCAACACGCTCTTCATCCATGGCTTAAACCAACATGCTCTTCTTACAAGCAAGCAGCCGTATAGACGCTTTGCAGCAGCTGTGCATGGACGCCGCCATAACTGACCTTCAGTTTTTGTTTCCTCTTATTCCGTTTATTTCACTTCATCATTACCATAGCAGGCCAGGTTATTGGCATATTAGATTCAACTGTGTCCTTTTCTAAAGCATCAACCTTCGTACAGGATCGTCAACTACCGTTTCAGTTGCTTGGCATCTCGGTAAGACAAGAGAAGGTCAGCAATGGCGGCTGTAATTTGGCGCGTGTGTAAAGCGTCTATACATACATATGGTAGTTTTTTTTTTTTAAGAGCAGATAATTTGTGTTTATTGGACAAGATATGCATATATACACATACACGCACATGTGGGGAAAATGAAACAAACACATTGAAGTTTATTAATCCTGAAAAATCTATTATATATAGTTTTTTATGATTAATAATAATTATTTCACAACCTACCTGAATTAAGGTAGGTCCTAAACAGGTAGCTAGACCGTTGTCCAGCTACCTGTTCTTCTGAGTATTCAGGAGAACAGGTAGCAATTGTGTCTAGGTCTCAAAACCATAGTTTGTTCTGGAATGGGAAAGGGCCAGGTGCCAATGACGCGATGGATATTCTGATTAATTTATTTTTAATTTTGAAATATTAAGCATAACTTTGTTGTTCTTTTTTCTACCGAACGTTTATAAGTGTCAATTAGTCTACTTGAATACACCTCGAATGCATTAACGATTTTATGTTAAAAAAATGGGGGGGGGGGGGGGGGGGGGGGGGATAGTGGTGATCACAAAGAACGTTTTCAATTATGCGGACAGGTTCCTGTTTTTTATGACAGGCGCATTTTGTTTACGTTACTTTTTGTGGTCGTCCCCTATACTGGATGGGAGTGGCAGGGTCAAATAAAAAAAAGTGAATTGTTAAACGATGTTTTTCTTTAAATGCTAACTGGCAGGAGATGTTTGTGCTTATTCACTATGCCCACAATTCTGGAAAGTTTCTGCATTAACATTTAAAGACATATATTCAGAAAACATTACGGCTAGAGGCTTAATATTCTGAACACACTTTATTGTGCTGAACCCTAAGACTAAATTTATTATAAAACTAACTTGAGATCCAGGTCACTGGAATAGAACTGCCTTTGTTTTGCCGTGTTAACGACCAGTTAGTCAGTATCTGTCCAGAGTTTTAATTTATCCAGAAAATATTTTCTTTAATAGAAATCACACCACCGTAATATCAGACAAAATATGTTGGTGTAATCAGTGTACATAATAAATTTTGTCGAAGGTTCATTGTTTAAAGTATAATTTAAAGGGATACTGAACCAAGGAATTCGGTGTCCATAATAAGTGGCGCACGTTCTTTCCACGAGCCAGCAGCCGCCGGTGTCCGCGAGCACAGGCAACAAAAATGACGTCACAGACCTCCATTCGTGGTTGAGATGACAGTGAAATGTATGGGCTTCGGACCAAAGGAGAATAAAGACAAGTTTTTCACCTACACAGTGGTGCCTGGTGTAAAAAGTCAGCGATGAATTGGTCTAACAAGCACGTAGCTTTCACTTGTAGAGATGAAAAGCCTGTCTTTATTCTCCTTTAGTCCGAAGCCCATGCATTTCACTGTCATCTCAACCACGAATGGAGGTCTGTGACGTCATTTTTGTTGCGTGTGCTCGCGCACACCGGCGGCTGCTGGCTGGTGGAAAGAACCTGCGCCACTTATTATGGGCACTAAATTCTTTGGTTCAGTATCCCTTTAACGTGTATAAGCAACAACAAAGGGCCGAGAATACTTCCCTATGGAACACCCGAAAAAATGCGCTGCATAGTTAATATGTAGTCTCCAGTCTGAATATACTGGGACCGGTGTTGCAAATAAATTGTGATGGGTGATAATACGATGCCTCGTATACCATAACAATATAAATTATCTAGAACTATTTTATGATTTATTCGATCGATACTTTACTTAAATCTATAAATATTCCTAACGTTAAAAGCTTTCTCTCGTAATGTTCTAATATTATCTCCTTATGTAGAAATAAAGTTGTTTCTTTAGATCTATGCCTTTTGAATCCAAAATGAGATTCAGTCAACAAACAATATTTAAAAAAGGTGAGAAATTGAAAATACCATATTTTTTATGGGCTTAGAAAACACAGGAAGTATGGAGATGGGGCATTAATTACTCATCACTTCTACCGCCGCCTTTAAATATAACAGTGAATTAAGAAAGCTTCATTCTTTCGGGCAAAACACCGGACGACAAAATGTACAAATCCGATATGCAAGACAGCAAAAAATAAATTATCAATTTTATTCGTTTCAATAAGAAATCCTCGCAGGAATGACTACGAGTATTCTTCATGTTCATAAACACAGAAAGAAATTCGACTGTATCGAACAATTTTTTTTTCGTTGGTGAATTTATTTGTCGCGGCACTGTTATAAGCAAGCCCCCAGCTCTTACAAAAGTATCATTAAACTTGTTTACAAGCTCTATGCCTGAAATACTCTTATCGTTAATGGTGATATTAGTAGTAACCCTATTTCGAGATCGGCTGTGCAATAAACAATTTTATAGCTTCCATACTTTATCAGGATGTGTCAAACAAGGCACATCAAATAAATAGGTAGAATACAGATGTTTGGCTTGTCTTAACTGAGCGTTGAGGAAAT